AGCACTTGGGGTGTTGGCCAGCCATGGCGATTGGCTCCTGACAATTCCTTTGTTATTCCCAGTTGCTGATAAGGATATTGAGGCTAGAGAAGCTAAGGAACTTGCCCAAGGGGACACAGCTGGTATGTGGTCCAACCAGGAATTGACCCCAGGCCGTCAGAGTCTAAAATCCAAACTCTTAACCACTCCCCGAGGCTGCTGAGATATGCTGGTCCCACTGGGTGAAGCCCAACAGCCAAGCTCTCCATAGCCTGGCCCCTCCTCTGTTTCCAGCCACCTCTACCCACATTTTCCTTGACTTCCGCCCAAACAAACTCCCTGGAGGGGCTCCCAGGAAGCCATGTTCTTCATACCCCTGTGCCTTTTTAAAATATATATTTTTTTTATTGATCCAGCCTGAAACCTGGGCATATGCCCTGACCAGGAATCGGACCATGACCTCCTCCTGTTTCATAGGTCGTTGCTCAGCCACTGAGCCCCGCACGGTCGGGCCATACCCCTGTGTCTTTGCATCTGCTCTTCCCTTCACCTATCTTTCCTGACACCCATCTCACGATCCCTGGCTGACAAACTCCTATTCATTTTCCAAAATCCATCTTAAGTGATGCCTCCTCTGTGGAGCCTTCCTTGACCACCGTCCCCAGAGTGTTAATAGCTGACCCTCAGTGCCTTCAGAGAACCTTGGTCCTCCTTGGTGCCTTCAAGTTGCTCTCAGGGGGGTCTGGTGGGACAGAGGGATAAGCAAACAAATGTTGAAGTCGGCAGTTGCTCCTGCAGCGGGTAAAGGCAGGAGAAATTATGTCAATGGCCTAAGGGTGGATCACTGCCCCTTCTGTTGGGCTGTTGGTGTCACTTCCTGGGGCTCCCAGGGTGTGAGCACACCATGCTTGAAGGGAACACCCACAGCTTAGCCATTTTACCCCGTGCTCAATCCGAGAAGCAGAGATCTGCTCCACGGATGGGCCAGCCCAGCCGCAGCTGGTGAACTTGTAGAGAGGGATGTTGGTCTGCAATGCGTCATCTTCCCAAGAGAGGTCAGGGCTGTGTTGGCCAAAATGAATTTCCCGGTAGGCATCTGACTTCCGTGCAGGCTGTGACTGATCTGCCGGGCTGATTCACGATTATGCTGCGTCTACCTCCCGCACCTTCCCGGGCACTCCTGCAGGGTAGCATGCGCCTTAGTGTGCGTCTGTCTCCTGCTGCCTGGGCTGGTTCCCGTCCCTGGTGGACAGCTGCTCGGCTCACCTTCATTGGACAGAGGGGATGAGACCCGAGCCTCCCAGGAAAGCACACCCAGATCTGAAGCAGCTGGTTCGGCCCCATCGAAGAAATTTTAAACCACACTTGTTAGCCTTTTAAGCTGCATTTAACAAGTCTGGGAGCAGATAACTTCCCTGGTGTTTGTCTGGTGGGATCCTCTTTCTTATATTTGTTCCCCTTGCAAAGAAATAGAGTGGCAGGGAGGAGAAATAACGGGGCGTTTGTATAATATCCTGTGGTACAGGGATGAATGAATGGTGATTAATGAGTGGTGATGAAAGTGATTGGAAATTCCCCCAGAAAAGCTGCTGGGGAGGCAGACGCCAGCGAGGGTGTCCTAATAAGGGGAGGTCGGGAGGGAGGCAGGAGAGGGAAGAGCTGTGACTCATGGGCCCAGTGAGGCGCTTGCTCATGTCCCGGATGCTCTGAGCGCTGCTGCCGTGAGGTTCCGCTGAGATTTCTTTCAGCCGCTGAGACCTCAGAACCACCCCAGAATGGAGCTTTGGCTGGGTTTCTGGGAACCTGGGAAATAGATCTTCTGAAATAGTATAGCAATGAAATGCCACGTTCCCGGGGAAACCAAAGAAAGAGGTTGAAGAAGAGGATTCCCATGGGTTTGTTTTGTTTTTAACATGTTTTCATTGATTTCAGAGAAGAAGGGAAAGGGAGAGAGATAGAAATATCAATGATGAGAGAGAATCATCCATGGGCTGCCTCCTGCATGCCCCACACTGGGGATCGAGCCCGAAACCTGGGCATGTGCCCTGACAGGAAATCGAACCTCGACCTCCTGGTTCATAGGTCAACGCTCAACCACTGAGCTACGTCAGCCGGGTGCCCATCTGTTTTCTTTAAGTGACAGTGCACTCATCAAGCACTCAGATGCACTGGCCCGACTGGGGGTGGGGTTGGGGGTGCTGACCATCCCTTTGCTGCAGAACATGGTGGGACAGAGGCAGCGGCCGCAGCCCTGTGAGCCCCTGGGTTCCCACCACGGGACCCACCTCTGGACAATCGTCCCTTCATGTGGGCCGTCAGGCTCATTGGCCACCCAGAGCCCACAGTCAGGACCCAAGTTAGGGAAGGGGTGGCGGCTACCAAGGAGAAAGTGGCTCTTCCCGGTTCATCCGAGAAGACTTGAAGGTCGACAGAGCAAAGGGAATGGGAAAGAGACTGTGCCTGGTCAGAATTCGGGCCCCGTCCTCACCGGAGGTGCACGCCTCTGTTTAATAACCAACGCCTCTCACTGGCCTGGTCCTGTGTGTTCATATCATTGGCTGAACCCCAGCCTGAGGCATTAGCATTATTTTGCTCTGATTTCCAAATTTGCTGACATAATATGTTTATATCTAATTTCTGTGCAAGTTTTCCTCCCCTCCAGTACTGCATTAATGTATGTATGTATGTACCTCTGACGCTGTGTGTATATGGATATACTGGGCCTATGAAGCACCCAGGGCAGGAGACGGCAGCTCTTTGCAGATAAACATGTCCCTCTACAAACAGTTTCTGGGTGTGGACTTTGGTCTGCAGTCATATTGAGAGGAAGCGTGGCAGTTTCTCCGGTTAATTGCTATTGATACAGACGGGGTATCTGAAAACATACAGCCCGAGCCATGTAGGACGGGGTTCACTATTTTTGATTTTTAGAAAAATGAATAATTCAAACCTGAGACACGTGTCAGTGTCCAGCCCACAAGGGCCCAGTTCTTTCCCACTGGTAAGGAGAGCAGTCATTTTACATCCTCCCCTCTAGGCCCTGAGTGGGGGGGGGTGGGGGGCGGGAAGGGACAAGGAACAAAGATGTCAAAGAGGGCATCCTCCCTAGACCCCTGAGGGGAGACAGCAGGTCTGCAGACCTGAATGGTCCTGCTCACTCCCTTTCTCTTCCTTCAGAAGCTTTTGTGCTCGGTCTGCCCCGTACAACCAACATCACGATCCTTATAAAGCGGGGGCTCCTACCTCTGGGAGCGAAGCCCTGTCACCTGCTCATGTCTGGAAAACTCTTGACCACGCTGCTCATCAAACCCGGAGACAGAAAGGAGTTTCGCTTTACCTGCCAGAATCCAGAGACTCACTTTGTCATTGAGGTCGAGAGGAACATTGGTAAGTACACACTCGGGGACTGCTGCCTACCTAGCCAGCCCCTAGTGCTGGGGAGCTGAGGTCTGTTTTGAAACTGCACTTCATTCAGTCTTATACGTGCCTGGTACGGGTTAAGTTCTTTAATCCCCCAAATGGCCCTTGGAGAAGTTCACAAAGGGACTTGCCTGAGATGGCACAGCCAGTGAGTAGCAGCAAGACCAGAGCCCGGGCTCTCGGGCTCCAGAGTCCTGGCCTGTGACCACTGAGCCACACTGTCGCTGAACAGAGCTGTGGGTCTTCGGGCCTGGGATGCTCAGTCGGATGTGCTAAAACCACTGACTTGGCTGATGACGGGTGCGAGTCAAGGGATTGGAGGATGAGAGAAACGGAAGGTTGAGGAGGTGGGTAGAGAAATGGGTCCACAAGGCTCAAGGGCAAAGGTAGCAACTGTGGAGGCTGAGGGAGCTGGGTTTCATGGGACTTCATCTAAGTTGCTTAACTGCTTTTTGACTTTGTTTTCTAGTCTATAAAATAAGAGTCCTTTACCAAACAAGTGGGTTGTTATGAAGATGAAATAAAATAATGGCTTGAGAGAGTGTGTGATACTCAAGAAAGCAACAAACTATAGGTATTTGGTATTGTTATTACTCAGAACTTGAGCTTGGGATAGGAGATTGACACAAATAACAATCAGGCAAGAAAAAACAACAAGTGTGTCATTTCCCCATCGTTTTAAGGTGGGTATTCACAACACTAACAACACTATTTGTGATCTCAAAGCCTACTCAGAACATTTCTTTGCCTTTCACGGAAAATAAGTGAATTGGGCAATAGATCATGAAGGGGGGCAAAAGGATGAAATCAATAAAGACCAATTACGTAGACAAATCTCTGCCTGGTCTCCTAAAAGGAAAGGAAAGAGAAAATACAAATATACAGCATCAAAAGTGTGAATGTGGATTAATGACATATACAAAGGCGATTTCTAAAATTGTAAGAGACAATGTGCAACATTGTGATATTCAGTGTGAAACTCTGAATGGACATGGTGATTTTCAGGAAAAACTTAATGGGCTCATAAAAAAGGTAGGAAACTGGAATAAATAAATAGCAATGGAGGAGATGGGGTTTGGCTTAGAGATGGTTTCAGCCCTAGCCGGTTTGGCTCAGTGGATAGAGTGTTCGGCCCACGGAATAAAGGGTCCACGGTTCGATTCTGGTCAAGGGCACGTACCTGCGTTGCAGGCTTGACCCTGATCGGGGCACGTGCGGGAGGCAATCAATCGATGTGTCTCTCTTACATCGATGCTTCTCTTTCTGTGTCTCTCCCCCTCCCTTCCACTACTACCTCTAAAAAATCAATGGAAAAGTATCCTTGGGTGAGGATTAACAACAACAACAAAAGAGAGATGGTTTCATTAAGGATCTTCTAACACTGTAAGGAGCAGGTAATTTCTGGTATTTAAGCCATTCTAGAGAAAGGTAGGCAAGCTCGTTCTGTAAACATCCAAAGCCCTGTGGGCCAGATGGTCTCTGTCACATCACAACTGCTCAGCTGCGCTATCTCAGCATAAAGTCACCCATAGAGCCCTAGCCAGTTTGACTCAGTGGATAGAGCCTCGGCCTGTGGACTGAAGGGCCCGGGGTTTGATTCCGGTCAAGGGCAATGCCCAGGTCGCAGGGCTTGATCCCCGGTAGAGGGTGTGCAGGAGGCAGCCGATAAACGATTCTCTCTCATCATTGATGTTTCTCTTTCTCCCTCCCTCTCCCTTCCTCTCTGAAATCAATTTTTTTTTTATTTTTTTTTTTTTTTAAAGCAGCCATAGATAATAGATGAACGCTTAGGCGGGGAACATTCCAGTGAAACTTTATTTACAGTAACAGGTGTTCGGCTGGATTGACCTCATGGGCTGTAGTTGGCCGACTCCCATTCTGAGCATAGAAAGAGAAGTTTCATACTCATTTCATAAACCCTTACAACCCTGATGTCAACATCTACCAAGAGCATAAAAAGAGAAAACCATCAACCAGTCTGTTATGACTGTACATGCAAAAAAATATATATCTTAGATAAAATATAAAACATGTATTAAAAGAATAAAGCTCAAGAGTAGGGAAGGGTTCGCTGGAAGACTAGGGTAGTTCACCATTAGCAAGTCGGCTAATGGAATGCTTTGCTCTGTTAGATGAGAAAAAAAAAAACTGTACGTGATCAGCTTAAGAGATTGTTTTTCATACAACATTCTCAGTCAGAAGGGTGTTTGCTTAATCCAATGAAGTGTTTCTATCAGAACCTGGTAGCAAATATCATATGCAACAGTCATTGCCCGTAACCTGGGAAACAACGTAAGAGTTCCCGCTAAGCATGCTGTTGGTCACTGTTATTCAGAAGTTCTAGTTAAAAATTTAGGGATCATCTTAATAAATATATAGGATACCTAGGAAGCAAAATATGTAAAATTTTCCTGAGAGACAAAAGAGAAGACACAAATACATGGGGAGGTGTACTGTATTCCTTAAAAATCTCAGTACTTTGTAACTGTCAGTTCTCCTTCAAATTAATTGACCAGTTTAAGTCGATTACAATTAACATGTCAGAGAAGCTTTCCCAGAGCTGAGGAGAATATTGATATGCTTAAGGGTTCCCTGGAGCCCTGGCCGGTGTGGCTCAGTTGGTTGGGGTAGTCCCGTCTGGTTATTGTGACCACTCTTCCCTGTGTGTCCATCCTCAAAGCCGAAGCTCTTAGCAACCAATTGACAAGTGCTTACATGACCTGACTCTCCCAGTGTCCTGTGGCCGGTACAGAGTTGTGGCTGAGAGATGGAGCTTTGTGGCTCCGGGTTCTTGGTATAGAATTAAATCACAGTCTCTCAGGTGGCCCAGGCCTGAGCATTTTTTAATATATATTTTTTATTGATTTCTGAGAGAAAGGGAGAGGGAGAGACAGAAACATCAGTGATGAGAGAGAATCATTGGTTGGCTGCCTCCTGCATGCCCCCTACGGGGGATCGAGCCGTTAGTCCGCAGGCCAAGGCTCTATCCACCGAGCCAAACTGGCTAGGGCAGGCGTGTGTTCTTTTAACAAATATTTTTCATTGACTTTTTTTTTGAGAGAGAGAGAGAAACATGGATGTGAGAGTGAACCATCTATCGGCTGCCTCTTGGACATCCCCTACTGGGTATCGAGCCTACAACCCGGGCATGTGCCCTGACCAGGAATCGAACTGGCAGACTCAGTGCCCTAGCCAACACCCAACCAACTGAACCACACCAGCCAGGACATGTGTATTTTTTTTTAAGTATATCTTCATTGATTTCAGAGAGGAAGGAGGAAGATGAGAGGAAAACATCAATGATGAGAGAGAATCATTGATTGGCTGCCTTCTGCACACCCCACACTGAGGACTGAGCCCGCAACCTGGGCACGTGCCCCGATTGGGAATCGAACTGTGACCTCCTGACTCACAGGTTGATGCTCAACCACTGAGCCATGCCGGCCGGGCGGGCATATGTATTTTTTAAACTTCCTCCAAGTGCATCTGAGCTGAGAATCGCCCCCTTCATAGGTTCGGTGATCCCACAAGGGCACGGAACCCAGTAGGAGCCGCTCCATGTGGCCCTGGGCACGTTGGAGGTGGAGATGCAAAGGGACAAGGCCATATGTTAAAGGAAAGAAGTGACTTGACGTAAACAATGAAGTTGCAAGAGCTCCTAAAAATAGGTGCTGTCTTTACTGACAGACAAACTCTAATTTTAGCCACATTCGTCACCTTGTTATCTAACCCTGTTTTGTGGGTTAGGTGGTGCCGTGTGTTGGCAGGGACTCGGGTTGAGCAAACACAGCCCGGGCTTCTGTCCTGGGATTGTGTGTGTACTGTAAGCGGCATGACCATCCCCCCAGCTCGGGGCTGAAAAAGGAGAGGTTTGGCATGGATGACCTCAGAGGTCCAGCTCAGCTCTAAAATTCTCCCATTCTTTCGTTTCGAGTGGGCGGTACTTTCAAATACCCGACTGGAGCAGCAGGTCATTAGCCAGAATTGCCCAGCCGGCGTGGCTCAGTGGTTGAGCATCGACCTATGTATGAACCAGGAGGTCATAGCTGGAGTCCCGGTCAGGGCACATGCTGGGATTGGGGGCCAGTCCCCAGTAGGGAGCGTGCAGGAGACAGCCGATCAATGATTCTCTCTCATCATGGATGTTTCTATCTCTCTCTCCATCTTCCTTTCTCTCTGAAATCAATAAAAGTATATTTAAAAACGTAAAAAATAAAGTGGCCAGAATCCATCTCCCCTTCCCCATTCCCCATGCCCAAGACAACAGCCTGTTGGGTTGCCTGCGTGCTGTTACTTCTTCCACGTGCTTTCCCTATTCCTCCCTTTGTTTTAGAAGCTTAGGAAACAACGTACATCCTTCATTTGTTGTTAGCTTTAAGAAAATCCAACATGGTAATAAAATGTGAGCATTAAAGCCACGAGGCAGAAAGAAACTGTGCCAGGGGTTCCAGCCACTAAGGGGCTTGCACGTTCTGAGTGTACTCAGTGAGTTGATGAGCCTGTGGATGGGAAAACCAGTTTTAAAAGGCAGAGCTTGACACTGTGCCCAAGGTTGTGAAATGGTGGCTCCGGCTCCAGGGCAAAGGGCCTCCCACCGACTGGACTCCACCGACTTCATGTGAAAACACAAGAGTTAGGAAGTGTCTTGGGTGTGGTTCCCTGAAAACAGCCTGAATGGGAACTTTCGCTTAAGACACTTGTCAGGAGAGTACCCGTGGAAGCACCCTGTGAAGAAGTGAGAAAGGAGTGAGCTAGGGAAGGACTAAGCAAAGATGTTTTTGTTTGAAGTGATATAATTTATTTCTTTTAAAATTTTTTAATATATATTTTTCTTGATTTCAGAGAGGAAGGCAGAGGGAGAGAGAGATAGAAACATCAAGGATGAGAGAGAACCATTGATTGGCTGCCTGCACGCCCCCCCACACTGGGGATCAAGCCCGCAACCTGGGCATGTGCTCTGACCAGGAATCGAACCCTGACCTCCTGGTTCATTGGTCAACCACTGAGCCATGCTGGCCAGGCAAAGATGTTCTTGTTCTGTTTTAAATATGTTTTTATTTTTAGACTAGAGGCCCGATGCACAAAATTCGTGCAAGGGGCTTGGACCCTGCCCCCGCCCACTGTGGCAACGCCTCTGCCTCAGCCCCAGCCACCGCGGCTTCATCTGGAAGGTCATCCAGAAGGATGTCCAGAAGGACATCTGGTCTAATTAGCATATTATGCTTTTATTATAGAGTAGAAGGGCGAGGGAGAAAGAGAGAGACATTGACAAGAGAGAAACATTGATCAGCTGCCTCCTACACAACCCCGACTGGGGATCGACCTCACAACCCAGGCATGTGCCCTGACAGGGAATCGAATCGGTGACCTCTTGGTGCAACTGAGCCACACCGGCTGGGCAAGGATGTGGTTTTAGCTAAAGTGTAGCCTCAGGCTGATGCCGGCAAAGGAGTGGCTTCACCAGGTTGAGGTCAGGCATTTTCACTCTTGACATGAGCTGAGCGGTGGTTGGCTATGGGCTGCTGCTCCCTGCTGGGGTAGGCAGCGAAACCCTCGAGTATCTCTGGCCCGGGAGGCACCCCCAGCTGAGGCACTTCAGCAAAGAAGGGGGCTTCTGTGAGCCACTGGCCATCAACACTATATAATCTGGAGATGGGTGTGTCCACCTCGGGGTACTCCCAGAGGGTCTACTAAAGAGATAAGGAGGAGCAGGGAGAGGCCTGGCAGCATTTATGACAAGATTGTTTTGTGACTGTTTCAGACTGCACATCACACCCATGTCCTTTTGGGGAGTTCGAGCTGCAGCCCGTAATATCGCTGTTGCCCCACCTCAACCGAACTTTCATCTGGGACATCCAAGCTGGCAAGAGCACCAGTCTGGAGCTGGTGTTCTCCAGGCCTCGCCTCAGGCAGATCGGGCGAGGGGAGAGCTGCCCAGACGGAGTCACTTACAGCATCAGTGGCTACATCGGTGCCACCGAGGTCCGGATCGGAACCTTCTGCAGCAGCGGCACCGTGTCCCGGATCAAGATGCAGGAGAGCGTCAAGATAACCTTACACCTGCTGTGGTTCGACAACAGAAGCCACTCCGGCTTCAGCATGTCGAGCCAGTCATCCATAAAACGTGAGCACGCCATGCCCTCCTGCTATTTGCTGAGGTTGAAACATACAAAATCTCACCCTGGCCGGTTTGGCTCAATGGATAGAGCATCGGCCTGAAGACTGAAGGGTCCCAGGTTCGATTCTGGTCAAGGGGATATATCTCGGTTGTAGGCTCGATCCCTGGCCCTGGTGGGGGTCGTGTGCAGGAGGCAACCCGTGAGTGTGTTTCATATCGATGTTTCTCTCTGTCTGTCTCTCCCTCTCCCTTCCACTCTAAAAATCAATGGGAAAATATCCCTGGGTCAGGATTAACAACAACAACAAAAACCATACGAAATCTCTCTTGCTCTAGGTCAGAAAGGACCAGGTGTTGGGAATTTTGTATGGTTTGACCTGAATACCTTACAGGGACATCCCACTCTTCCACAAGCGACACAGGCCAGGCCACTCACGCCTGGTGTGGATCCACCCTTCTCTAGTAGCCTTGGCGGTGACTCGCTTTTCTTTGTTCTTGGTACATGTTTGTTTTCAAGAAATGAAATGGGATTGGTTCTACAGCCCTATCATGATCGCTCCGTTTCTTTGTCCTGTCTTCTATCTGTTTCACATTTTCTCTAACGGTGTTAGTGGTGTGCTAGGACCGGCTCACAAGAGCTCATTGTTCAGTTGCAGGAAGTTTGTGAGCTAGTATTAAACAGAGCCGTCTTTTAAAACAGAATTATATAAACTTACTAAAATGATGAGTGTAGAAACAAAGGCCATAAACCACTCCAAACTCATTGCCCCCTAGTGATTTCTCTACATTTTCCTGTTGTCTGTGCTCTTGAGGTTATTTACGCTGATTCTCTCTGCAAGTGGAAATCCTTTATGATGGTGAACTGCTGTCCATCTCTTTCCAAGTTCACATTCGGTCATCCCACATTGGTAGCTTGAAATCAGCTCTGGTGGGAAATTTACACCAAGGAAATGGGCAGGCCCTACATATCAGAACTCCCTCCCCCTCCCCCGCCGAGTCAGTTGTTAAACATAGACTTGCACACCACTGATGTCTCCTCCTCACACCGTATCCCGACCCACGGCTCAGGACCTGAGAACCTCCTTCCCCTGCCCTAAGCTGTGGACAGTCAGGGCAGGATCTAATCGCCTTGTTTGGGTTTCCCCTCCCAATAGGACTGTGCTTCATCGAATCTGTGTTTGAGGGTGAAGGTTCAGCGACCCTGATGTCTGCCAACTACCCGTTCAGCTTCCCCGAGGACGAGCTCATGACGTGGCAGTTCGTCATCCCTGCCCCCCTGCGGGCCAGCGTCTCCTTCCTCCAGTTCAACAACTCCAACTGCGCGAAGAAGGAGGAGCGGGTTGAGTACTACATCCCGGGCTCCACCACCAACCCCGAGGTGTTCAGGCTGGCGGACAAGCAGCCCGGGAACATGGCTGGGAACTTCAACCTCTCTCTGCAAGGATGTGACCAAGATGCCCAAAATCCGGGGATCCTCCGGCTGAAGTTTCAAGTTTTGGTCCAGTGTCCACACAATGAAAGCAGTGAGTGAGCCCACCTTCCTTTCTCCTCCTCCTCCGACACCTTCTTTCCTTCCTGTTTCTCAGCTGTGGCTTCTGGACCTTTGGACCCCGGAAGAGTTGCAGGAAGTATGTTGCTAGGCAGCGAGGCAGGCTTAGTGGTGAAGGCATGGCATGCCCAGCCATTGAAACACAGTAAGAATCCAAAACGCAAACTTACGTTCAGGGTGCCAGGTTATTTCTGTTGTTGTTATTGTTTTGTTAATCCTTACTCAATATTTTTTCTATTGCTTTGTTTTTAGAGAGAGTGGGGGGGGGAGGGGCCAGGGAGGAGAGAGAGAGAGAGAGACAGAGAGAGAAACATTAATGTGAGAGACAAATTGAATGGTTGCCTCCCGCATGCACCCCAACCAGGGCTGGGAATCAAACCCCAGACCCCTCGGTCCTTGAGCCAATGCTCTAACCAGTGAGCACACCAGCCAGGGCTGTTGAGTTGTTTTTTTGTGTGTGTTTTTTTTTTTAATATATTCCATTGATTTTTTACAGAGAGGAAGGGAGTGGGATAGAGAGTTAGAAACATCAATGAGAGAGAAACACCGATCAGCTGCCTCCTGCACACTCCCCACTGGGGCTGTGCCCGCAACCAAGGTACATGCCCTTGACCGGAATCGAACCTGGGACCCTTGAGTCCGCAGGCCAACGCTCTATCCACTGAGCCAAACCGGTTAGGGCAGAGTTGTTTTTAATTAAGGCATTGGAAGGTTACCCTCTAGACAGCATGTCTTGACCCTACACTGGGAGTCTCGATGTCCCCACACCGGCAGCAATGATAATGATCGCTAACGCCGTTGAGCGCTCCACACTGCATTAAGCACGCCGCTTATATGTCCCAGCTAATCCTTATGACAACCCAGTAGGGGCGGCAGGAATTAATCTTCATCTACTGATGAGGAACCAGAAGGTTCAGACAGGTTGTGGAACGAGGCTCACATCACACAGCTGGCCAGGAGCTGAGCGAGCTCAGCACCCAGAGCCCGTGCTGTGAGCCACACTGAGCCCCAGGTAGGTGGGTGAGCATGAGGTTATCTTCATCCCACACACAATTACTCAGACGCCTCGAAACTAAAGAAGGGAAGTCGGGGCCAGGACGAGGGTGAGGTGAAGTGCTCAGGATGCCACGTTTAAGGAGGCGCCCACTCCGAGGGGCTCCCTGTGATAGAGGCGTAAGTACAGGTCAGCCCCCAAGAGCGAGTGCCTCCTTAAATGGTGCATCCTGAGCCCTGGGCCCCTCGCCTGCCGCACCTGAGTCCTGGTCCCGAGGGTTGTGGTGTGGATTTTGAGATAATGTATAAGAGGAGGCCAGCGTGGTTGGGGCTCATCTGTGAACTAGAATCTGTGAAGGAGTGAGTTGTGGCCGGTGGGCCGGGCATTTCTTACCTGCTGAGGATGGGTTCTGTCCAGAGGGCTGACGCTCAGCTTGTTTTTCTTACTTATTTCTGGGAAGTAGGCAGAGCCAGGCAGAAAAATTGAGTGGGAGTGGGGAGTGGCATGCTGTTTCTGTTTGTGAGAGAGACACATCGATTGGTTGCCTCCCCAACCGGGCCAGGGAATCCAGCCTACAACCCAGGTGCGTGTCCTTGAACGGAATCGAAACCACGACCCTTCAGTCCGTGGGCCGACACTCTAACCACTGAGACAAACTGGCTAGGGCGCTGTTTGTGTTTATAGGGCCGATAAACATCTGAAAAGTAACCCTGTAGGGTGCACTCAAGAGGCTGCCTTAGGAATGCCCCCTTGGCACCCACTTGGGGCCTGACTCTGCCCATATCTTGACCCAAGATTCCTTCTAATTCACAATAATTATGTAGAAGACGTAACTTTATGTACTTGAGTGAGTGTGTGTGCGTGTGTGTGTGTCCATTAACACACTTTGGAGTTCCACTGTCACATTTAATGCTGGAACAGCAACGAAAGGATTTGGAATGGAGTGGGTTTGAGTTTCAGAAGACGGAAAGATTTGTTTATCATCTTAGGGCGAAGAGCTGCTGATTGATTCTGTTTCCTGCAAAATCAGCTGGGCTGACTTCTAAAACTAACCAAACAGTAAACATGCTACAACCAGCATAAAGAGTGATGAGCTGCCTTGTGGCGGTGTTTCGCCTTAAAGTGGGGTTTCCATTTTTCTAGAGGAGGGCGTGACCTTGACCAGCAGGAATATCTTTGGGGATAAGATTAGGCTGGGCTGGACTCAGGAAGATCTCCGGTTTCTAGATGGCGCCGTCTGGGTCCTTTTCATCCTGATGTGGGCCCTACATTTCAGGAGGTTGCCCGCGGCAGCCAGTCCTGGGCACCCACATGTGTGTCTGATCCCTTCTTAATATGTGTGAGCAGCTGCTTGCAGGCAGTGTAGCCCAGTGGTTAAGACTGCCGCCCCCAAATCTGGCCTGTGTGGATTTGAACCTGGTTCCCCTACTTACTGTGTGACCATGGATGGGCAAGCATCTCTTTTTTAAAAATATTTTTTTATTCCTTTCAGAGAGGAAGGGAAATAGAAAGAAAGAGGGAGAGAGAGATAGAGATAGAGAGAGAGAGAAATATAAGTGATGAGAGAGAATCATTGATCAGCTAGCTACCTCTTGCAAATCCCACACTGGGGATTGAGCCTGAAACCTGGGCATGTGCCCTGACCTGGAATTGAACCGTGACCTCCTGGTTCATAGGTCAATGCTCAACCACTGAGCAACGCCAGCTGGGCAAGTCTCTTAACCTCCATGTGACTCGATTTCTCACTTTGAAATGCAGCTCAGAGGCCTCCCCCGCAGGGGTCGTGAGGACGAAGGGAGGCAGCACAGCGCATCTTCAGCTCGTGCTCAGGGAGCCTGGATTGGTCCTGGCGGAGCTGGCACGTCCTGGGGCCTCAGGCTTGCTCCCCTGGGGCCCATTTTCATTTTAAAGAAATTTCTATAGATGCCACAGGAATGATGAGGGGCCTTCATGAAACTTCAGTCAGTAACCCAATCCCCTCAGTGGTTCCCGGAGTCCATAAGTATCCAGTAGTGAGATGCTGTCTGTTTTTGTGTGGGGTTGTCTTTTAAGCTGCGGGCTCTGGCGTTTGTTTGCATGCGGGAAACACCCACAGTGTTGTAGAAAGAGGATGAGAGTCTTCTGTGGTGGGAAACCAGATTCAGATCACGGGTCTGCCCTCTGTGACCCGAGACACCCTGAGCCGGTGGTTTCAGCCTTTCCGGCGCCTCCCCCTTCAGCTGTCAGTTGACAGCCACACCTCCTCGCCCTCCCTTTTGTGAGGGTGGGACAAGGCCACTTGTCAAAACACACAGAAGACACAGTCACAGTACGTCTTGTCTTTCCTTAGATTGGTGAGTGTTAAAAGGTGACGTTTCCATTTAAAACGCCCCATCTCTGCACATTTCCATCCCACTCTGCCTGCTGACGCCTCGCATCAGGACATTCCTGAGGCAGCAAGGCCGTGGGCTGTGTCTGCCCCGCCCCTCCAGTTATCTTGAGATCCAACCGGAATCAGTGTGGGGAGAGGACACGTTAAGTGACTAACGAATGGAATGCATCTGCAAATGAGAATGCGGAAAGCAGTGCATTACTGACACTCCCGCCATGGAAGTCCTGTCTTGCCCCAGAATCAGGATGCTTTTTTCTCAACAAACTGCACTGTTTCAGCTCAACTGGTAGGGGTCTCATTTCTGCCCACCTGATTATTATATAGTAATGCTCGAAGGAGATGTAACCGTCACACCACTGTACCGTTTCCCACCCACCACCCACAGGAATGGCTAAACTAACAAAGGCTGGGGCACCCGCCGAGGGTCAGAGTGCTGTCGGGAGTGCCAAACGTTGCAGCCGCCTAGAACCACCTGGTTGTTTCTTACAGAGTTAAACCCGTGCCTTCCTACTTCTGACCCAGACACTTCGCTCCTCAGTGTTTACCCAAGAAGTGGCACGGTACATCCACTCACAGTCGTGCAAAGGCATAGGTCCAGCACTCTTAGAAAAATCAAAAACGGGAAACAACCTACATCTCCATCAACAGGAGAATGGGTAAAGGAATGTGGTAGAAATGTGGTCCACGCTTTCTCTTCTTAAATTTCTTTTCGACTTACTGTGATGCTGCCTGAATAATAAAAAGCGTTTCCCACATTCCCCGGGCATGAGAGGTTTTGTGTGAATCTTTGCCCATTTCACGGGGCGGCCGCTGACGCCTGTCTTGTGTGTGTGGTTCCAGATGTAACCTACGAGATTGACTTGAGTAAGGAGCAAGCCATGTCGGTCACCATCGAGCCGAGGCCCGTGAAGCTGAGCCGCCGCTTTGTCCCCGGCTGCTTTGTGTGTCTGGAGTCTCGGACCTGCAGCACCAACCTCACCCTGGCCCATGGCTCCAAGCACAGGATCTCGTTCCTCTGCGACGACCTGACACGCCTGTGGATGAACGTCGAGAAAACCATAAGTACGCCCGTGGTCGGGGCGCTCCCCCCTCCTCTAGGGCCGCGGGCATCTCTCTACATCCTGCCCTGTCTTCTTGGTGGGGTCCACGGGGCAGGGTGTAAATAGTGTGACCAGAAATGTCCCCCACGGTGCCGGGCGAGCAAGGGCCACCAGGAAGCGAACCAGGAGGGGGAGACCTGCCTCCCCTGGGAGCAGCCGCCTCCGCTGGAACATGCACCCTTCAGAAGGGCCGTGTGTGACCCCTGTCCATGCTCACGTCTCCTCAGACTCCCCCTGTGGAACCCCCTCCTCCTAGTTGTGGCCTTCCCCGTCCTCTCCCCCTGCACGCCCCCTGCTTCCACGCTCACTGCCCGCTTGCGGTCTCTCACATGAGACTCCAAGTCTTGAGTCTTGGTTTGTCTCTTTTTTGTTGTTGTTGTTATTAATCCTCACCTGAGGATATTTTTTTCCATGGACTTTTAGAGAGAGTGGAAGGAAAGGGTAGAGACAGAGAGAAGCATCAATGTGAGAGAGAGACACATCTATTGGCTGCCTCCCACACGTGCCCCACAACTGGTGGTGGGGATCGAGCCTGCAACTGGGCCGGAATCGAACCTGTGACCCTTCAGACGCTCTTTCCTCTGAGCCAAACCTGCTAGAGCTATTGCATTTTATCCCTTTAGCCCCTAGCAGGGCTGGCCATGTGCTAGTCACGTAGTAAATGTGTGATGAAGGTGGGGCAGCCAGACCCATAGTCACCTCCCTGCGGGGCCCCTGTGATCTCTGGCGTGGATGCTCGCAGAGTCTCTGCGGGTGCAGGAGCCGGGGCCACCCCGTAGGAAGTGTCAGAGCTGGAATGCCAGCTGAGACCCCCAGCTCCACGCCCTGCTGTCACTACTGCACAGAACTGCCTCCCGTAGACGGGGTCACTGGGCAACAGGCCTGGGTGGGGAGACCTGTGCCCTGCCCACCTGGCACTTAGCACCTGAGACACAGAGGTGACAACCTGACAAACAAGAAGAGAAAGTTCAACCCTAAAAACTCCCCAGAAAGTTGGTCTGCCAGGTTAGGAAGAGTGTGAGAGAGCAGGACGGGGAGCTAGAAAAGGGAGCATCGGGAGCCGGAGTGGGGGACAGCGCGGGAGGAAGGACCAAAGGGAAAAGCCAGGAAGCCTGGGGCCGACTTGAGAGCTGGGAGGATGCTCTTCCTGTCTCCTCCCGGCCTGGGTACCATGGGCCCCTCTTTTCCAGGCTGCACGGACCACCGGTACTGCCACAGGAGGTCCTACTCCCTCCAGGTGCCCAGGGACATCCTCCACCTGCCCGTGCAGCTGCACGACTTCTCCTGGAAGCTGCTGGTGCCCAAGGACAGGCTCAGCCTGGCACTGGTGCCGGCCCAGAAGCTGCAGCAGCACACGCAGGAGCGGTTCTGCAACAGCAGCTTCGGCTACCTGGTGGCCGGCGCTGGCCCGGGCCAGGACCTCTACTTCGGCTCCTTCTGCGCCGGAGGCTCCATCGAGCAGATCCAGGTGAAGCAGAACGTCGTGGTGACCCTGCGCACCTACGCCCCCAGCTTCCAGCAGGAGCTCTCCAGGCAGGCCCTGACCGCGACCTTCATACCCTACTTCAAAGGTAAGAGCATCGTCTTTCACCTTCTTCCGTCTCCAGGCCTTTCCCATGCGGGCCTTCCTCTATTTTGCTTTTGTGATCGTCTTACTCCAGTTGTCAAATTGAAGAGGACAGATAGCTGAGGGGGCTGGTCCTCACACCAGACATTTTCGTCCTGATCCTGACTCCACCGTTAACCTGGAGTGGAAAATTCCAAGGCTCTGTGACAGGGGAGGTGATGGTTGATGGCAGCAAAACATATAATCAGATTCGAGTCTTTCTTGGAAGTGGCCAGAGCATAAGTTAGAACTAACCACATAGTCCCAAGTCCTGGATGTTTAAGGTGGTAACCTAAAAACCCATATTCGGGCATTTTTATGATTCTGATTTGAGAATTCGGAATGCAGCATGGAGAGCGCCGGAAAGGCCTGCTGGGAGAGAGAAGGATCTAGAACTCCAGGGTCCCGTTTTCCTGGGCGAGGACGGTGAGCTTCTGTGTCCCAGGCAGGAAATGAGGTCTCAGTCGGTCATGAGGGTGACTCTAGAACTCTTCATGGCTGATTTTAAAAGTCACAGTCGCCATCACAGATTGCCCAACGTTAGAGGCAATTGGAATATTGACCGAGGGCTTTCTCTGAGGTTTGCTTCACACTTTTGTTCTCAGGCATGAGTGTGAGGAAGAAGAACCTGTGGCCCTAAGATTAAGGTCCATCTAGGTTGCTGGAGATCTTTAAGATCATCAGAGAAACTCCTCCTGGGGAGTTTGTGAAAGTAACACACTCATCGGTGCGGGGTTATCTCCCCGGGGGTCAGGAGTAGATGAGTGGACGTGTCAGAGGCACTGTCTGCTTTGCAATTCCAGAAATCTTCTGAGGACCTGATGGGCTTTTTGTTCATTCGTTTGTTTTGTTACTGATTTTTAGAGGGAGTAGAAGGGAGAGAGAAACATTGATGTGAGAGAGAAACAGCGACTGGTTGCCTGCCGCACAAGCCCCCATTGGGGATCGAATCCACAACCTAGGCCCGTGCCCAGACAGGGAATGGAACCCACAGCCTTTTTGGTGTACGGGACAGAGCTCCAACCAACTGAGCCATCCAGCTGGGTCAGGACTTGAGGTTTTAATCTCAGAAACAGAAATCGGTATATACCAGCCGTGGGCAAACTACGGCCCGCGGGCCGGATCCGGCCCGTTTGAAATGAATAAAACTAAAAAAAAAAAAAGACCGTACCCTTTTATGTAATGATGTTTACTTTGAATTTATATTAGTTCACACAAACACTCCATCCATGCTTTTGTTCCGGCCCTCCGGTCCAGTTTAAGAACCCATTGTGGCCCTCGAGTCAAAAAGTTTGCCCACCCCTGGTATATACCCTCCCACCGTGGGGCACAGGTGAATGTTAGCGATGCTGAGGGCATTCCTGAAAGGAAGCCGAGATAACCACCAGTTTGGCAAACTGGCCTGTTTTTGCTCTTTGATTTGACTGAGACTCTAATCTTGTGCTGACCCATACAGTAGCCATGGGTCACCTGTGGCAACTTAAATGTAAATTAATAGTAAAGAAAGCTTGAAATGTGGTTCCTCGGTCACACCGAGCACGTGTCAGGTCTTCAGCAGACACGTGTGGCCGTGGCTACTCCCGTGGACGGTGCAGATGAGAACAGAAAGCTCTGTCGGACAGCTCTGGTCACGACACTCTACCATCTTCTCCGCCGCCGCGACTTCTTCTCTCCCTTTCGATGGAAACGTCTATGTTCCTTCTCTTCCCTCTCCTGCAGAGGAAGGTATTTTCACGGTGACCCCGGATATGAAAAGCAAGGTCTACCTGATGACCCCTAACTGGGAGCGGGGCCTGCCGTCCCTGGCCTCGGTGTCCTGGAACATCAGTGTGCCCAGCGACCAGGTGGCCTACCTAACCTTCCTGAAGGAGCGGACCGGCCTGGTGTGCCAGACGGGGCGTGCGTTCATGATCATCCAGGAGCAGCGGACCAAGGCCGAGCAGATCTTCAGCCTGGAGGAGGTGCTCCCCAAGTCCAGCTCCCACCATCACAACTTCTGGGTCAACATCTCCAACTGCAGCCCTGTGAGGGGCAAGCAGTTGGACCTGCTCTTCCAGGTGTCGCTTACCTGGAGAACGCTAGGTAAGGGCCTTCGGGATTTTTCAGGGATGGTAATGGTGTAAATTGGTAGCTGAGGGGGAAGGAGCAAGCCTGGGAGGTGAGTCAGAAAACATAGCTTTGAGTCCTGGCTGTCTGTGTATCCGTCAGCTATTGCATCAGTAATGCTGCGTAACAAAACACCCCGGGACTCAGTGGCTTAAAAACAGCCATTATTATTGCTCAGATGGTGGCTGGGCAGTTCTGATCTGAGCTGGACGTATGCATCCGTGGGCAGCATGTGGGTACAGGGGGCTAAGGAATGGGTGGTGGTCATCTTTGGAGGCTATGTACTCAAGTCCATCACAGACCTAACCCCACACGTCTCCCCTCCTCTGTGTCTCTGCTCATAGACATGACTGTCATCCTCATTGCCGTGGTGGGAGGCGGCGCCTTGCTGCTGTGTGCCCTCGGACTCATCATTTGCCTTGTGAAAAAGAAGTAGGTGGAATTTCTCCATCTTCAGCCGATCTGACGGCCCCTTAGATCACAGTGACCTATCACTAATTATGGACCTTTTTGCTTGCTTCCCATTTCCCTCCCAAAGATCAATGTTAAATCATATTGCCAGATATGAAGTATACTTAGAGGGGAAGAATATCCCAGGGGGGGGGGGGGGGGGGGGGGCGGGGAGAGAGACAGGACAAAAAGCCAAAATACAGGTGTGGTGATATATGAGCCTGCAGTTTTTATGCAGCCACCTCAGCACAAGTCCCCTGGGCCCATTAGACTGTGAGCATTGCGGGGGTGATCTCGGCGGGGTAATGGCCACATGGGCCCCGCCAGTCCAGCCCTGCAAACCCCCTCCCTCCATCACCTGAGCTAGAGACAGAAGCTGGTCCTTTTAAATATTCACTGAGAACAGTAGTTTCAGGTTCAAAGACTAAGCGATTTGTGGGACGTGGGGGAGACACAGTCTCTTCTCCCGCAGCCCAGGGGGTGCAGGGATCTGAGTTCCAGCAGGGAAGGGAAATGGTGCACATCTAAGACCGTTGTCTTCCTGACTTCTGTCTTGCTCCCTCTCTCAGTAGGAAAAAGAAGATGAACAAGGGCCCAGCCGTAGGTATCTACAATGGCAACATCAATACCCAGATACCGATGCAGCCAAAAAAGTTTCCGAACGTACAAAAGGACCATGATGCCCACGTGTACGCCGTCATCGATGACACCATGGTGTACGGGCATCTGCTGCAGGATTCCAACGGGTCCTTCGTCCAGCCCGAGGTGGACACCTACCAGCCCTTCCAGGGCCCCACAGAGGACTGCCCTCCCCCCTTCCTCCTCCCATATTCCAAGGTCCCAACTGTAAAGTTGACCACAAAGGAGTCATCCCCTGACTTTAATCCTGAGTCTGACAGTGAACCGTACACCTTCTCCCATCCCAGCAAGCAGAACGCAAGTGACGGGAACACAGACATTCCCTTGCTGGATGCCCACGAGCCAGTGGAGACTGGGGAATAACTTGGACCCATCCCAAAGACTTTGCATAAAGCAGGGCGCTGAGACGCCCTGTAGGGTGCTCACCAGAAATCCCAAAGAAGAGGAATTGTATGGAAGGAACAGCAGGAGGTTTTCCTGGACACCACCAACTTCTGATTTCCAAGTGGACTCATTCCGACGATGAAGACGTTGAAAATGATGAATTCTGGTCTGGATACAGTCATCATGGCTCATGTCCTTCTAAACTCAGGTTGCGTTAGAAACCAGCCCGTAATGAGAGAGAAGTGTGAGCCACCCCAGGACAGGGTTGCAACAAGCCCCGGATTGGGGTTTGGACTCTCTGTGA